GTCGATGCTCGCAGAAAGAGGCGGCCGTTGCGCATCTGTCGTTATTCGTCGTGAAATATTTGTGGGAGGGTGAGCCGAGCGTGGGTGGTGGGTGCAGGTGGTGGGTGCAGGCGGTGAGCTGCACCCGTGCGGACGCTCCACCAGTTTCGCGTGCGGGAAAATTGATCTGAAAGCGTTAGTTACCTGCCCGCTTTTGCCCCCGCAGCCAGAGGGAAGTGCTGGCACTCTCGGAGTGGATGTTCTTGATGGGACCAATATAGAGGGTGTCCCGTTGTAATGGACTCGGGGAATTAGCTGCGGAAGGGTTCAAGGTTGAACATTTTTTTTTTTACGTATAAATTCTGTTATGTGGAAGTCAGCAGTGTACGAAATGCTTTGGGAGTGAGAAGCAGGTACTTCAGTATCCTAATATGTTTCATACCGTGTCAATGAAGGGTGTCCTGTTACAATGGTGAGGAGTTGTCAGCTCCAAAAGGGTACAACTTTGGGCAAGAGACGGTTTATAGACCTTTTTTTTTTCAGTTTAGGAGGACGTCTCTGAAGACTAAGTAAGTGCATGACCACCGCATTACAGATGTTATCAGTATGTACAGATGCCACGAATTTTCAAGAAAAGTATCCATTATGTTTTGTACTCACATGTGGAGTTTATCTGAAGCGTTAGTAACCTGTCCACATTCACCCCTGTAACAGATGAAGCGGTAGCAGTTTCGAAGTAGACGTTTTTAATGGGTCCAGTATAGAGAGTGCCCCGTTGCATTGGATTACCTCCGGCGATTAGCTCCTCATTGGTACTTCATTTAAAATGAAATCTAGTTAGGTCTTGTGTCCAGTGGAAAGCAGCAGTGTATTATATATTTTTGGAGAGAAAAAATGCCTTTTCTTGACGTTAATATTTGCTTTATAATTGGACAAATAGAGGTGACATGTTATATAGAACATATTATAATAACCTGTTATTATGGACACGAGCCGTCAACTGCAGAGGTACAAGGTTGAAAATATCTAATTGTTTCATGTGATTTATAGGCGGACGCCTCTTATGGCTAAGTGACAGATATGGCTACCGTATTTACGATGTGAACAATACGTAGAAATAACTACGTATTGTTCACATCGAGTAATAACGCCACTACGAATGCATTGTGTATAATCTCCCTCCACTTTGAAAAGCGATTACGGATCTCCTAAGCCGAAGTTGTTTATTTATTGATATAACGAGAAATACTGATTTTTATGTTTGAATAAGACGTTCAGCGTATGCTGAATTCCCTTCTCTTGTAGTGGGTAATGTCCATCTTTTGCAAACTCAGAACTACAACAGGTATTTTACTATACAATATTTCGCGAAGTAATAACAACTAGTAAATGAAAATGCATCGTTTCAAATGAATGTTACGGATCTTTCCTAGAAATATTTTATTCTCTTCAACAATTGGGAGATCCTGAGGTTCGTGTCCGGATGGGACCGGGTTATCTACATTAGATAGAGTGGTCGGACTTAGCCGATGTCTGGAGGATAAATTCTAACTATAGGCTGTTGTTATCAGTTCATTTCTGTGATTTCTCCGGCAATACTAGAAGAATGTTGCAGCAGCACTTTAACACATGAGCGACGGATCGCGCACGACCTTCTCTTCAATCATGTCTCATCTCCCCTTAGACACACACACACACACACACACACATGTGCAACTCCACCGACTCCTCATGCAGGTGGTGACTTCTGAAACCATCATCACCAGCACGCATCATCGCTAGACGCAATAGTTTTCAAGAAGCTTCATGTACAAGAACGACTGCGAAGGGGTATCCGGTAACATCAGTTGGCACAGAGCGATAAGCCGACCTGCCCTTCTCGTGATGCACGGGAAGGGCAGGGCGGTTCCGCGGGAAGAGAATCAGAGGAATGGGACGGGTTTGTGCTGGGTAGGCATAGGATAGCTGTCCCACATGCTAATCCCACACTCTAATCCCACACGCTGCGGAGAGCGGGTTCCGAAGGGTCTTTGGTAGATTTTCCCTTGTACTTGTAACAAAAAAGCACTATACTATCACGTGTGTGTGTTTACGAGTTCATCCCCATGCTTTCTTTGCTTTCCGATAAATTGCATATTAGGTATTGAGAATGCATCCAAATTTTGTGAGTCTTAACAAATAGAAATAATCATTCTATATTTATGGGAAACAAACTTCTATTTAATTCAGAAAGCAGTTAACTGGTAAAACAGTGACTGATGCTCGTGAGGTTACACAGGCCTGAATCAACTATATTTCCAAATAAACGTGTTAGGGTGGGTCGCTTTAATATCGCACGCGTCCCCGACTGCGCCCAGCCGGTCGGACGTGGCACGCGTGTGCTCTACGCTCTGCCGGTGACCTCTGGTCTCTCGCAGAGGTAAATTCAAAGCCCGGACCTCGCCTCTTCGACCGAGGCTAATGGGTCTAATTGCGCTCCTTTTTAAGGAGTGGCGCGGCAGATTTATTGCGGCAATAACCCTCCACTAGGCTACCCCTCGGGCGTTGTTCTATGCGATACTCGTAGGAGCAGTCAGCGGGGCTTTCTCTCCTCCTTTTGTTTGCGTGCTCCTTTGAGCCCGAATGAAATGCAACGGATGCGCTTGGTTATTTCGGAGAGTCGCTTACGTAATGTTTTCGTGAGTAATTGTACATCGTCATTTAGCGTCGATTGCAATTCAACTGCTGTGGAAAGTTTTTAACGTGTTTGCAAAAAAAGGCGTGGGAAGCTACGGATGTCTCTTTTCAAGTACTTACCGAGAGATCAGAAGCTATTTGTTGCAGGATTTTTCTTTGCTTTTCGATACACATATGTGCAGTGTTTGGTTGTCTATCACATCACTTTTGCATTTGCGTTCTCTCTGAAGTTTGTATTACTAATCACTTCTTATTCAAGCTCCAAATTGGATGTATAATTTCTTTCAATACACAACAGTTTTTCTTTTCATCACAAGGAATGACAAAAAAGAGAAGAAAAGTCCCAATTAAATTATTAAATGAGCTTACAAAGGTAATTTATCTACATAAAATTATTCTTGCCGAAAGTGGCAAATTCTGAAACAAGAGCAAACAACGTGTGCAAGCAAGTGGATTCCAATGGTGCAATTTAAAAAGAGGAAAATTATACGTTTGGCTATTTACAAAACGGTCAAAATATATTTAAAGCAGATTTTGTCGGAGTAATTTTTTTTTCGAAAACACCTTTTCTTTATTATGAGTCTTTATTATACTACTTCTTTTAATTGTGTAATAGTGACGTCAGCTCTAACATCAATCTTCCCGAAAAGTTATCAAAATACGTGCCCATGAGAGACGTATGAATAAAGAGCCTTTTGATTGGAATTCATTCCCACATTGTACTATCTACACCTGCTTACTTGAGCTCCGCAAACACTTCTTCCTCTCTTTTGCCGTAGAAAGCTGTTACTCGTGAAAAATAGCAACAATCTGTTGGCAACATCTGATACAAAGAAATGTTCCATGTAATAGAAGCTAGCGGTATTTTCATCGATAAACGAGATACGGATTTGATAGTACTACCGACAAAATAGCTAAACTTTTCACTCTTCTCCATCAGGCAAAATTATAGCTC